ATCTCCAACCCCCTGCCCCTGTTTGTGAAGCTACCTGAAGGCCTGTCCTCTTATCCTTTACATGTCCAATATCCTCCGCTGCTTTTCTTAAAGTCACACAAAGAAAGTAACAGAGAAATCAACTCCTCCCTCTCAGCTCATGATGTTCTGCTCCTCAGCGCCATTGTTTTAGCTTTAACTTTTCAAAATGAAATGTCTGCCTATCAGGATTTAATTTGAATTATGTAAAAATGTTAGAAGAAGAACAGAAGAAATCCTGATGAAACAATAACACAAACATACTTTATGGGCCAAGGGGGGTTCTGTTGTTTAGCTGATAGCTCTAAAATAATCATGATTGTAATGAAAAAACTGAAAAAGGACAGCCGGTTGTAAATGTAGCCTATGCATAAAGTATGACAAAAAAAAAAAAAAAACTAAAGACAAGGACTTCCACAAAGAAGGAAACTACTAAATAAATAAATAAAATAGAACAAGCAACAAATCAGGATGATAAAAACTCTACTGTGTTCGACAATGGAGCATAAATATTGTCGGGAGAAAGCATAAAGAAACAAGATGATACAGTAAAAAGTGACAAGAGAAATAAAAATGTTTCTCTTACTGTCTCTTTGTGCTCGTTTTCCCTCAGCCCTGAACACTCGTGTTGATTAGATTTATTGTTGTAACATGTAGGACGAGACGAGCTGTAAAGGGTTATAACGCTGTAATGAAATCGCATCACAGGTACTGACTTATCCACCCACCTCTGACTGAAGAAAGCCACAGAGGTTCAGTGTGGAGGATCAAAGGAGTCTGAAGCAAAACACATTTACTAAATGCTGTTACTTACTCCTTGGAATTTAATGTGAATTAATTAACCGCAAACACGTAGGTGAATGAATCCACATGTGGATGGATTCACACACACACAAATACATCACTTAAATTTCATGCTAAACTTTAGCATCCTTTGGCGGACAGACACACTGAAAAAACTGAACCGTTGACTTTAATTAAATGTATTATGTCAACAAATGTCACACAACTGTATTAGGTTAGTTGAAAGTGAAACAATTAAGTTGAACCTAATATTTTGCACAGTTACCTAATACAGTTATGTGAAAACTGTTAGTATAATAGATTAATCTAAAGGTCACCTATTATGCAAAATCCACTTTTTCATGTATTTTATACATACAAATGTGTCCCCTCTGAGATTCTGAAAGTTTCAGGAAAAAAGATTCACTCACTTTTAGTCCTGAACCATTTATATAAAAACCTGTCTGAAAATGAGTTGATCAGATTTTGGCCACTTTATGATGTCATAACATCATGAGTGGCTCCTTATTTTCATCTAAAGTAACAGACAGAGAATCAGCTCTTTTCAAACATCAGGGCTGAAACAGAGGGGATTATGGGATGCTGCAATTCATGATTTGTTTGGTATTTTGAGCCAAACACTTCAGAGCCTTTTTTTTTATATATCTGAGACCTATAATATATTGACGAAAACAGTATACTAGGGCAGTGTTTCCCAACCGGGGGTACGCGTACCCCTAGTGGTACGTGGGTGGTCCCCAGGGGGTACGTGAAAAGATTTTGAAAAGTACAAAAATAAATAAATAAATAATTTGATTTTAGATTTTTTTTTATTAAAATTTTTACAGGAAAACTGTACTCAAATAAGGAATAATGCATATTCTGTAATAATGTAACCACAATTGGGGGCATTCAAATTAAGTAATAATTTGCTGGCTATATATTATTATTGGCGCGGCGTTCAGTTTCCCGCATCAAGTGAATGCGCTGGTGTTTATTGAGATCAAAATGTATATTAACATAATCATTATGGATCAATGGCTGAGTCGAGCGGGTTCATCCAGAAACAACAGCACAGGTGATACTGCTGAATCAGGAGAACCCGTTCTCAAGAAAATGAAAACAGAGAAGGTGAAGAATCGTCAGTTTGGTGAACATTATGTGCTCTCCGGGTTTACGGTCACAACTACAGAGCCACCGCAGCCAATGTGTTTCATCTGTGGCGACGTGCTTTCTAATAATAGCATGAAACCATCCCATTTACATCGGCACCTTAGTACTAGACATCCCGCCTGTGTGGGTAAGCCTGCAGAGTTTTTCCACCAAAAGCTGGCTGAATTTAAGGGAAGCCAAGAAAAACCAAAGAAAGCGACATTGGTCTCAACCAAGGCCTTGGAGGCATCTTATGCCGTGTCGCTACTCGTTGCTAAATCGAAAAAGCCATTTACCATAGCCGAAGAGCTAATCTTGCCTGCTGCTATAATTCTCCTGAAGAAAGTGCCGTTGTCAAATAATACTGTGTGCCATCGGATCGACGACATGGGAATTGACATTATTGACCAAGTGGTGGAAAGATGTAAAGCGTCTGGTACGTTCGCTTTGCAGTTGGACGAATCAACGGATGCCAGTGGGGAAGCACAACTGATTGCGTTTGTGCGTTACAAAGACACTTTGGAGATGAACGAGCACATTCTGTTTTGCAAGAAACTCACGGGGAGAACTACCAGACAGGACGTTTTTAACGTTATTGACAATTTTTTCTCTCAACACAAGCTGGATTGGAAATCCTGCTCTTATGTGTGCACAGACGGCGCTGCGGCGATGACCGGCAGAGTAAATGGATTAATGGCCCACATAAAAAAGGTAAACCCTGACGTTACATGGACGCACTGCATGATTCACCGAGAAGCATTAGCGAGCAAGAGAATGAGTCCAGAGTTAAACGATGTTTTGAATGATGCCGTAAAAGTGATCAACTTCATACAGTCCAGGCCTTTGAATCATAGACTGTTTCAGTCACTTTGTGAAGACGGTGGGTCAGAACATAAACAGCTCCTGCTTCACACTGACGTCCGCTGGTTATCCCGAGGGAAGACGTTACAGCGGCTGTTCGAGCTACGCAATGAAGTGAGGGCATTTCTGTCGGAGCACACACACCCACTTGTGGCTATGTTCGACGACGCTGACTGGGTAGCTCGGCTGGGATACCTCTCTGATATTTTCAGCAAACTCAACCAGCTGAATCTCTCTCTTCAAGGTAAAGACACAAATGTTCTAGCTTGTATGACAAAGTGTGTGGATTAATGGAGAAGATCAAGCTCTGGCAGAGCAAATGTGAAAAAGGGGATACAAGTTGTTTCCTGCAGCTGAACGCATACATTGCTACTGGTGAATGTGACAGAGCTCCAATTGTGAAAATAGTACACACACATTTGTCCAAGCTCAAGAATGAGTTCAACTCCTACTTCCCTGATATTGACAACAAGTCATCCACACTGGACTGGGTGCGTAATCCATTTGTGACGTGCATTAACAGCAACATTCCCGCCAGACTGCAAGAAGACCTCATAGATGTGTCCTCAGATAGGAGCCTGAAGATGAGGTACTCAAGCACACCACTG